GGGCCACGCCCTCTTTTCCCGCCTTCTCGTCCTGCCTCCTTGTTCGTCCATCGGACGGCCATAATGCAAAACGAACGGAGTCAAAGGCCCGACGCAGTCATTGTTGGCCATTGTTTAACAATTAACCGCAAATTGAATGCAATTAAATAAATAACGGTGTTGAACCTTTGTGCAAACGATGTACCCACGTGTTCGCGTCGCCGAAGTCGCTCCTCCGTCCTTTGTCCTGCCGCATATATGCCCACTATATAGTATAGAGTATCCCTCCTTCTCTGTTTGTATATCTGTGTGTGTGTGTGCTTCATTGCCAGGCCAACGGTGAGCGTAGTGCAAACACACGCACCAACACACACCCCTCTCTTCTCCTCGCTGGTCAGCGTATGTGCGTTGTACAAATGAAATGAAATATTACGTATACGTCACGTCGGTCCATTGGCCAGCAAACAAACACACACTCGCACAATGGAATGGCCATCGAGCCGAAGTTGGCTGCACGGTTGCGTATTTGCCAAAGTTATTGTTGTACTCGATCCGAGCCGCGTCTCCTCCTATTTTCTTTATCGGGGAGTACGCATATGGAATATGGCTAAAGGTTTTACATTAAACACCACTTCCGATTGCACTTACTGGTTTGGGATAATATAATATTAATTTTTATTATAAGGGGATAACCTATTACCTAGTACCTATTTGTTTTTATAGAAGTTCCACAGGGTTTCTAATTTCAAAGACAAAAATTTATAGTGAAAAGTTTTGTACTATAAAATAATTTAATAAAATGATCCAAAACAAATGTTTATTTTATTGATTTATGAGGTCTTATAGCCAGTAGCTTTAAAACACCTTAAATATATTATGCAATTAAGAGCACGTTTCCCACTATGAAAAAACCAAAGCCATTGCCATTAATCATGTCAAAAATGGGACAACTATTTTAAAAATCAAAACCCATAAATTTCTATATCTAATAATTAGACATGATTAGCTCTAAAAACCATAAACTCAACATGTCATAAGTATGTCATTTCTGCTGGAGGTCATGAATTTCCCATTAGTCGTTATAGCGGTTACCCACTGCCAGTTTTTCAGTGTATAACAATTTATTGCAACTGCAGGCGGCGTCGACAAGGGGAAACAAGGGGCTCGAAAACGCAGCCAATTAATCGCAGCACCCTGCAGTTGCAGTTGAGCCGATAAAAAGCCACGACTCGAGCGCACTTAAAGCGCATAAATGAGTAGTTAAAAGATTGCCACACACTTTGCATTGATTGATGGATTTGCTTTGTTCGCATTGAGGCCATTCGAGTGCCAAGAGTCGATTGTTAAAGTTTTGCTTTAGGACCATTCAAGGACCCCCTAAGGACGAGGGGAAAGATACAGAGGGCCAGTGGGGTTGACTGCCCAATTTGACACTTTTTATTGAGCTGTTTTGTTTTGCGATCGGTGGAAAAAATTTCAATTTGCTATCCAGACGGACGAACGGACGAACGGGTTGCCAGGGACATGTGCACGCAATCTAAAACTTGTATGACAACAGCACTGCACCCATTGCTTGTGTTTCAATTTGGCCCTCCCGCCACGCTGATTGTCTATTTGCCAGGACCACATCCGAGCTAAAAAAAAAATAAACTAAAAACTAAAAAAGAACTAGCTCTATTGAAGGCAGAGAGCTGTTTTGCAACAGCAAACAGGACTCACCGCGAAGCGAGTATGAAACACGAAGCGAAACGCAAATGTTAAATGTCAGTAAGACATGCAAAGATACTGTCACACATTGCGGCGTGTTTGATAGCGGTGGCGGAAAGGATAATGCAGGGCTCCATTATATTTGGGGCCTCGTCGCATTGATTGACTTTCGCAGGTCGGTACGTAGTCCTTTTGAATCTCGACCCGATGTCCGGGCGGCGGCGGTGGAAAAGGACATGCGCTGCATCGCCTCGTGTGTTATGACAATTTATTGCCTGGTGTTTGACGAAATTGAATAGCCCGGCGCTGGATATTGTTGGCTGGATATACTGGCGTCGCACGACGGCGATGGTGATGGTGATGGAAATTGGAAATTGAAAATTGTTTGCAGCAAATGGAGTGGCAGCAAAAAGCCCTAAAAGGACTTTGCCAACAATGGTATAATTGAATTGCCTGCCATTAAGCCACATCGCACCTTCGGCCGTTTGGCCGTTTTCGCCAATACAAATGTGGACTACGACTACGACGACGTCGGCTGCTCACTTGTTTAATGATTTCTGAATCCGGGGCAAATTTAAATTTGCCTTTAAACTGTCAACATGACCAATCCACGTCTTTTGTTCTCAGCCAGGTCCTTCCTTATTCATGCGAAACTTTTGCATTTCGACAAACAAGAAGTCAAATTGAAAAGTTTTTATTTTGTCAACAGCAGAGGAGGGAAAAAAAATGAAATTAGAAGCCGCGACTGCGAAAGTGAAACAAAGTTGGGGAACGCGCACCAATTGCCGAGTTGTGTTTCCAACTCGAGCAGAACAAATAGCGACCAAAACTGGGGGACACATAACATTTAAACTTTATGTCGAGATGTGGTCCAATTTAAATTTGAAGCTTTCGCTGAGTGGATTACCGCCAAATTGTGAAATATCGATTGGCAATTAGTTTTGCACTATCTACATTATCCCTATGACATCCTGGGAGGCAGCGCAGAAATGATGGCCAAGACAGACGCAGATAAACTGCAGCCCGGGAGCTAATTATTATTCTTAATTATCCACGGATGGGTTGCCGGGCCAAGGAAGCTCCATAGAAAAGTGCCCTGTCCAGTCCTTTTTCTTTGGCTTTGCTTTTGCTCCTTGGCGGGGCAATTATGCAAACGCTGAGCCCGACAAAACAACACAGAACAACGCAAAATAACGCAAAACAAAACAGCGCCGAGATAAGGGGAGCTTTCTTTTTCGGCTCGGCTTTCGCGCTCGTTAATTGTAATTGAAGTTTGTAATTAAAAAGTTTATACGAAGCGCGGAGTCATTAAAACGAAATGATGCCGGCTAATACAACTACTGGCGAGATTCTATTGCTTTGAAACTGGAACTGCCCGGTTCAGGTAGCATTAATTTTGATTTAAATGGTGTGTAAACGCTTTTAAACTTCCGAGATTTGTGCGCCACCGTCTACTGGCACTTTATTTGGCCGCAATTGAGTTATTGGCCTCATTAGCGCCGGCTTTCTGCTTAGGGATGCAGCCCGAAAGCGGATCCGGTTCGACTAATTACCACTCTGATGAATGGTCGGGCAGGGGCACGTGGCCGCAGATCCTTCGGCAGGACTGTCGGGTTGTTAGCCCCACCTTGTCAGCCAATCAAAGTGGGTAAACACCACACACACCACACACCCGCACACTCACACTCGTACCCACACCCACACGCACTCGTAGGCACACAAAAACGACGAGCAAACGACCTCAACCTAATCATGAATAATGTGCCACATATTCACACAATAAAATCAAGAAAAAGGCAACACAAATATCATAACAAGCAGTCTGCCAGGCGCATTCTCCGCCACCCCTCGAATTTTCAGGCGATCCTATCACCCAGAATGTGACACAGGCCACGCGCTAAGGCGACCAAAGTAGGGGGTGGTGCACTGAGAAAAATTACAACCCATTTTGACATTCAAAACAAAAAAACTTGTAGAAGGGTGTTACCAAAGATTAATACAGAGATAAGTAAGATAAAAGTAAACAAATTAACATGAAATCAGCCAATAAGCTTAAGATCATTTTAATCAATTTAATTTCAGAAGGCGCCATTCCATTTCTTTCAGTGCACTCGGCTTGGCTCGCGTATTAAATATGCGTGTCATGTCTATTTATTTAGCTTTGTTGTCACCTTCGGCCATGTTGACTTTTCAATCTCGCCGAACACTCGACGGCGGGGAAAGCGGCGCAAACACGAGCGGCAGGTCCAATCTGGCTGATGTTGAGGACATATTTCGAACACGGCCCAGATCCCCGTGGCTCGACTTGATTGAATGGGCCTAGACGACGGCCAGACATCTAAAGTGCACACACATGACTTGCCGAGCTAGATGCGCTCCCCTGGAGCTCATGAGAAAATATTTTTAAGCCCACAGCCGGCTGCTTAATCAGCATTTGTCAAATGAAAAACCTTTCACCAGTTCTTGGCTTGACTCTCTCTCTCTCTGTCGGTTTCTGGCCAAAATGACAATGACATTGCAGAGGCTGGCAAATGGCTTTCTCTTTGTGGATATTAGTCTGTGTGTGCTGCTGCCGCTTCCTAACAATGACACCAAAATGCCTGGCATTATGCGGGCTGGTGGCTGCATTGAGTCTACCGTCAACTGTTTCACTTGACAAATTTGAGCAAAAAGTAAAAATGTTCCAGCAAGCAGCAGACAAACGAGAGAGTCAGTGTGTGTCTCTGTTTGTGTGTTTTTGTGGGGGGAAGGGTGGAAAGTGGTGGAAAAGGGGGCTTTTCCGGGGGGTTTGGCAGGTGAATCAACCACCTGGGAGAGCAAACACACAAAGGCGGCAGCCCGAGTGCTTTGCCCAATGCGAAGCTGGCAAATTTCCATAAATCATATTAACCCACATTTGACATTACCCGCTTTCACCGCCTCGTTTCCCCTCGTTCTCCACATCTTTCCGGTATTGTTTGGCTAAAAGTTTTCATTTTGCACATTTGGCATAGTTTTTCCCTCTGCTCAACTTTATGCAGCTTCCTTTCTTGTGGCTTGCACTTAAAAATTTCCCTTGAAGTTGTCAGCCCGGAAAAAGGTTTTCAGGGCCATCGTTCTCCTAATGAACGTCGAAGCTTTCAGGCTGAAATCGAAGAAAGCAAGTACAGGTAAATAATTTAGGTTGAGTGAATATTGATGTACATTACGTGGAACACAGAATATCTTTCAATTTGCTCAGTCGACTTCGAATTGCATGCATTTTTTATTCTAATTACCAAGAAAAGGAACAAAATACCCAACAGATTCACATGCTCAAGGATTCGGCGGTTTCGTTTGTGGGGTAATAAATCATTTTTATTGTTGGCACTTAAAATACCATTGTGTTGCAATAAAGTCGCCCTAGTAAAACACGAACATTTGCTCGTAGAGTAGCGAGGATATGGGCCACATAAAATAAACCTAACGCTGACCTGGTACTTCAGCCCTAGAGTCCTTTATCCTGGCAGAGCGGAGCCTAATTGAATCGGGATGTCTTGCTGTCATTAGTTTTAATTCCCAGTTGGGGATGGTGTGGGAAAAAAGTTCTTGCAGCGGCCTTGCTAAACCTCCTGGGTAATTATGCAATCACTTTTTTGGCATGGGCCCCAAAAAAAAGCGAACTGCTTGCATGTCCTCTCCTGCAGAAAACTCTTCGACTTCGAGACTTCTTCCGGCCTTGTGGCATTACAAATTGCCGCCGTATGCGAGGTAATGCCTTGCTATTTGTACAAAATGCTAATTTGATTAATCCGCATTTCATTTTTATGGGGCCGCGCTTGTTTTGCGTCGCATTAAATCCATTTTTCAGCAGACTCGCGTGCCGTCACCCAAGAGCCCAAGAACACAAGAACCCGAGCAGCCAAGCAAATATTAAATGGCAAAAGTGCTCCACATCTGCGACCAGGACAGGCGACTAGGCTAAGGCCAGCTCACAATTAGGATAATCGTCGGCGGGAAATGTTAATTTAAATGTGAATGATTGTGGCTGTGGCTCTGTTCCCGCGTATTGACTCTGTTGCTCGGCACTTTCGTGCCGCCGGTTGCGTGATGGAATACATGTGTTTGGGGCGCGGAACTTGCGGCGATTGTGTAACCGCTTGGCTAAGCTTGATTCCGAATTGAATTCTCTCGTGACAGTCGGCCATGCGTGGGGCATTGATTGAGTGGGAGACATGATAGGCTCCTCTGGAGGGTTAAGGGGGTTCCCTCTATTAAAGCTCGGAGAAAAGTTTCCGCTGATCCCTGGGCATATCGCACCAGGCCACAGCTGCATGCTTCAAGGCCGAGGATCTGGACATGTTGCTGTGGTTCCCCTGATAAAAGTCCATGAAATTCGAGAAAGCCGTTCTGGACTGCGTTCCTGGTATTCCAGTTTCGGAAATCGTGATGGCTGATTGCGGTTGGAATAGTTCAATCTCGTCACAGGACTGATTTTCAGAGGACTTTCTAACTTTCGTTCTCCTTTTGGTAGAGGAAGCCTTCCTTTGCCTCTTTTTATCAGTTTTAGAAGCCAGTTGTTTGGACACACCCAAAAGCATATCGGATATAGAACATCTCTACAAAGGTATGGTTAAAATTAAGGTAAGTTGTTAAATAACCATTTCTCTTTTTAAGAAACATATTAATACTTACCACCTGGGCATATCGCATTCGCCGAGTCTGCGAAAAAGTGGCCCAAACACGGGCTGCATTCATCATCGCTTCGTTTGGCGGCATTTCACTGTGCTGACGTTTATAGAGACGCAGAAAGTTCTTGTAAGCGAGAACAGACTGTCGCGAGTCTTCTGGTTGACTGAAAATTTTGCCCATCTCTGAAAACTAACAATTTAGCTAAGGTATATTGTGTACAAAGTTATCTGGTAAAAAAATGACAGCTTAGGCTCGGCTCACTTGTGAGCAAACTACAGTCATTGCCTAAAATATATTCAAAATCCACTTTAAATTAAATACCAGCTCAAAAACACATTTATTTTAATACGGAAACAACTGCAAACATTAATTTAAGCACCTTAGTTAGAAGTGTGCCAAAATAAAATAGCAAACAGTGACGACTTTGTTGAAGAGCACGAACAGATTCAAGCCAAAATTTGTACACAGCACACTTTTCATAATTAAAGAGCTTCCTGCTACAAACATTGGTGATTGTGAGCGGACTGCCGCAACTCCTTCCCGGCAATCTTATCGCTCGGCTAACGAACTAACGCCATTAGCCAACGCGGTCGGTGCGACAACCAGGGGCTACGTAATAAAAAAAGGGCAACAACCGACCATTAGGCTTTTGGCCAAGGAAAGGGGGCCAGCAGAACGAACGCCCCGACGAGGTGAAGCCTAATGAAATTCCATGGAAACATGTTCTCGCCTGATAAGCGGCCATTGGTCAATTGGCCGGCGGACGGAGCACGGAGCAGGGAGGACGGAGCACGGAGGTCGGAGGACGAAGGACTGGGGACTAAGGACTCGAAATGTGCACCACACAGGCAATGCCGCGGAAACGAGCGTGACGTGGTACGCAAAACGCAAGCCACTCCGCCGCACGAAATATGAAAAACTGCAGGGGCGAAAAGTCAATGTCATTTGCAATGCAGCGCTGTAAATTATTTTACATGGCCGACTTAAGGGCAAACGGTTGGAAAACGCTAGGGAAATGAAAGGGTAGCAGTCGCTTTAAAACAAAGCCCTCGGCATGAATCCAATCAGGATGAGCCGCACTTTCACCGAGCTGGAACATCTGGAGCGGCAGCAGATTGCAGCTAGAACACACTTTTCAAAAAACTTTGGGTGATTAAATCAATAGTTTTGTGGCTGATTAAGTTAAATCAGCTTATTTGTAAAGAGTTATTTTGAAATAATAAGGTTTTTATTTAATTTTTTTAGGTTTTTAAGATGGATTTACATGTTTAATGTTAAGTAATAATCATAATTGTATATAGTATTAAGAATATTCCTACTTTGTTTTGCTGCTTATTCTCTTCTTATTATTCCTTAATTTCAATCTGTGTTATAATGAATTTTCGGTAGTGCATTTCCATGTGTTTAAATACGCTGCCGCTGTTGGCTGTCCCAACTTTCTGGCATTTATCTCTGTGAAAAGGAATCGCTCAACGCCCGGCACACGGCGAAATGGCGGGACTTTGGCCCGGGACTCTTTGTCTTGGCCAGGAGTTGGTGGCAAGGCGGCAAGGTGGAAAGTTGGCAGGATGGCTGGTTGGCAGGATGGCTGGTTGGCAGGATGGCGGAGTGGCCACCGCAAAAGCAGCGCTTCCGCCGCGTATTCCTGTGCAGCGGCGCTCCTTTGGCTTTGTGTATGCAAACAAAGTACGAGATAAACTTTTGTTCTGCCTGAACTTTGTCGCGGCTCGGCGTTCTTGGCTTCTGCAGCTGCCGTTGTTGCTGTTTTCGCATTATAATTCCGGCTCGCTCGCCCGCCCACAATTCCCGTCTTTGTCCGCGCTTTATGAAAATGAGTTAAACATAATACGACGACGAATCTCTGGGGCGAGTTTTGGGAAATTGTTTTTAAATTTGCCACAGCCTCGGCTTTGCTTTCTGTCACACGCTGCGGCAGCGGAATTGAAAACGGCAGGAACAATATGTCATTAGAATATAAATTGAAATTGACGGGCCAACTTGTTTGGTTTTCGTGGGTATTTTCTTGTGGCACGCAGACAGGGGAACTGTCATTGGTTTCGCATGTTGTAGGTTGATTAAAAAACTATACGAGAGTGCTCCACTCACGTGCCGCACGCAGGCCGTGCTGAAAATCACACGGATTGGATGAGGGGAATCCGAAGTTGGGGGGCGGATGGATGTGAGAAGGGCTCAGGGTGCCAGCCGTAGACATACTTTTCCAATTTACCCCCACCACCAGCGCAGGAGCGGACTGTGCGAAATGAGCCACTCAAAGCAATCAGGCCCCACCCAATCACTCAGGCTCCACCCGCCCCCTTGGAACCCCCGGAATCCCGTTTCCGGCCGAGGAGCAGGAGCCCATCCCGCAATCCTCACCAGCCATCAGCGCCATGAATTATGCAAATCTCTTGCGGCCAACTCAACGCAGAGGACGAAGGAGGCAGCGGTCGAGAGCAGAGCGAGTCGAGAGCTGGGAAAAAATCAAACAAAATCGATTGATGTACAAATTTTTCTTAGCATCCGCAAACAATTTTCTCCAAAGAGCCTGCCTTTTGATTTGTGCGTCAATGACAGGCGGGGATGGGGATGGGGGCTGGGAATGGAAGTGTAGTCCTGTCCTGGCAGCCTACTCCTAAATTATGTAGATTTGTTTTAGCATAATGCCTGAGCTCGTGCCGGGGTGTTGTCCTGTGAGCGTGTAAAGAAGGAGCAGCAGCAGGAGCAGAAACGGGGATCCTACAGCGATTTTTTCAAATTCCTTCTCGGCTGCAACGTTTTAAACCGCCATTAAGTTGCCCCCATAAATATCAGGCCGCCCTGCCCCACTCCTCTCTCAGCTCCGCCCCGAAAAGAAGAATTATGTAAATTCAGTTGGTCACAGGACGAACTGCCCTCCACCCATCCGTGCGCATTTCATTGAATTATTGTGCGTTGCCCTGGCAACGGGGAGCCAGGACTCGGTCGAGGACTTGGTCCAGGCAGGACTCGCTCGTCTTTTCGACATATCGCCGTTGCCATAGTTGGCACTGTGCGGTCGCCTTTGTGCCGGGCAATATATGAAATTCTTAAGTTAAGTTCCCTCTCTGTTTGCCTCGGCTAATTTAATTTATTTGCATTCTCCGCACAATTCCATTTAATTTGCCGGACATTCCCCTTGATTGGCCGGAACAAACTTTTCCATCGGCAATTGTTAAAACTTGCATTTTTAGCAATAACTGTTGGAGAAATCAAATCAGCTGAAAATTAATTTAATTCGCACTTGAACGGAAAAGTTTGGCTGCCATGATGTAGCTTTATGATTTGCTTGCGTTTTATTCCATCGCGAGCGTGAAAAAAGCGGGGGAAAATACCGAGCTGCAAAATTTTAATTATAAAAGTTTGGATCTTGCTCGCCTTGACGCCTGCTTTCCTCACTTGCTGACTGACTGACTGACTGACTGGCTGACTGTTCGTCCTGCTCCTTTTTCTACTCCTGTCTGCGGATTTTGGGGGCGGCAGTGCAGCAACCAACGTTCGGTGCACTTTCCCAATTTCACCAATATTAATTATGATTTCATTTTCGTTAGTTAACAGTTTTTCCAGCGATTCTTTATTGCTTCTACGCGCGGAGCTCCTTTGAAATGAATACCAATGGAAGCGAGAAGGAGGATGCTCGAGTGGGGCAAGTGAAAGAGTTTCCTTGTGGCGCAACTTAATTAATTTTACATTGCTGCGAGTGCACTGCTCGCTGGCTGTCAGAAAAGTGTTCAAATGATAAACGAGCTAATTAATATGCGCCAAAACTTGTCCCTGGGCCAACTGGCCGTGGCCAATGCAAATAGCTGGCGAGAATCGCTCGTGGCTCGCCAATTATGCGATGTGATTTGCAAAGTTCCACCAACATATTTCTGCGGAACGTCCCATTTACCCGGCTACCCAGTTCAACGACACAGCTTTCATTAAAATTCATGTGCAATATATTGAGACTTGCATGCATAATGGTCACTAAGTTTGCACCCGGGAAAACTTGGAGCGACTGCGAAGTGGGCCTTCTAACATGCAAATACCAACGTGGCCAGCGACAACTGGCAACTGGAAACTGGCAACTGGTAACTGGTAACCAGTAACTGGCATCCGGACATCCTTTGCGTTCCGTTCCAAATGAAACTTGCAACGGTGGCATCCGCCTTCGCCAGAGTAAAAACGCAGCTCAAGTAGTTTGTGCGCCCTATGAAATTTCATGCATAAACTTTTTGCCAATGCAAAACTTTTAATAATTTAAACCGTGCACGTATGTCCACGTCCCAGGTCCCTGGTCCTCTGTCCCTTAGTCACAGTTTGGGTTTTTAAAAGAGCTTAGAAGAGCTCCGGGCACAAAGTCCTTGAGAGCATCGACAAAAAAGAGACCTGGCAGTTCCATCGATGATTATGTATTTTCATATAAATTTGCAGAAAGTTTGCGAGTCTGCTGACTGGCACAAAGGAAGTGACACATTTAAATTTCATACTTAGAACTTACATTATGGAAGGGAAGTACTTGAGGGCCTCTTGAAAATGTATTACCTTAAAAGCCCCTTCCCATTCGGGATCGATATTTGTGTAACACACAACCTATGAAAAATATGAGGAATTAAACATACAAAGAAGATTTCCATTCCAAACAAATAAAACATCTTTGTAGATTTTAGTTTACATCTAATGCTTTATTTTATTCTTGAATATTTTAGGGTTCTTATGCGCATTAATCATACAATTAGCATCGTACTATGTAGTTAGTAATTAATGAATTCACTGTTAATGAACACGCACTGCCGAGTGTTTATCTATGTCTGGTTTATCTGAATTATACTGGTATGTATGTAGGTCCAGCATAGAGCGGGTTCATCTGGCGACCCGTCTACCTGTGTAATCTGTAGATCTGTAGTAATGCCACCGATTCCTCCTGCACTCAACTGGCTATGTAAGGTACACACACATACACATTTATGTAGATAAATTGTAACGCTTTTACTTGGGTTTTCCCGACTGCTTTTCCGCTTCCGCTTCCGATTCGATTTCCCTCGCTTGACATTCTAAATACAGGAGTTGTATGCGACGAGTTCGAGGGCCGCGGCCTATAAAATATACAAGTGAGCTTCGACCTCTATTGTGTGCCCTAAATGAAACAGTACGGACTCGGCGGAGATCGTACAATTGGAAAGGTGCAAAAGCTGATAAAATGCCTGCTGGGTTCGTAACACTCAATAAGTACCGTAGTCATGTATTTACAGATTGACATTCGTGACTGGTGACCGTTCACATTCACGTGCCGCTAATATGTATGCAAAAATTCACATTCAAATACTCCGACTAATGTTCCAAATGGGGGATTAGCTTAGTTCCATCGCTCGTCGCTCGTTTTTGGTGGTACAACATGTTTGCTTAAACTCTAGTTTACATCGAAAAACATTACATTGAATTGCTGTGTTACATTGTTGTTATCCTTTCGGTTATGGGTGCGCTTACTGGCTAAAATAAAACTACAGCTGCAATCGAAGGAATGGCAGTCAAACGGACTCGAAACACAAATGTGGCAAATACTTTACATTCTAACGTTTTGCGGTGTGGTTTTTTGTTTCGTGTTTTATTTCATTCTCAATATTTTGTTATTTATGGTTTACGCTTGAAACTAAATAATATCACTATATAATGTTTGCTTAATTTACAAACACATCCTGCTGCATCGAGCACGAGCCCGACATTTATGAAGTAAAATGCAGTTCACATTCAGATATCTAATGCTTATTTACATGACCTAGTTCGAGTGGCTTACACTATCATGGGGATGGAACGAGGGGGTGGGGTGGGGTGGGATTTGGATAGTGGATTTGCATTCTCGCATTGCGATTTCCATTAACCATTTTCCATTTTCCGGTTTTATGTGTGTGCTAATTTAATCGTGGACAAAACTTTTTGAAAAATTATTTACACGGGTTCTTAACTTCTTTCTCCCAGCTTTCTGGTTTCTCATCTGTTTTTTTTAGTTTGGGCTAGATTCACTTGCTCTTTGGTAAGTTAACGGGTTGGCCGGGAGGTGAACACAATAAAGTCGGGTATTTTCTCTGGATTTCTGTACTTTACAGCTCATGGTTCTCTCCTTCCCCGCCAACTTCCTTCTGCTTCTCGGTGTGAGCGATTCCCCTCGGCTTGTGCTGCTCTTCCTGCTCTTGATCCTGATCCGAGTCCCGATCCCGATCTCCTGCAAAAGCAACCGCTTACCCCAGGCCCAGTCGACGTCTGTCGAACTGACAATTACTCAAGGCCATGGCCAGGAGCAGCGCCGTGTGAAGGAGCAGGCTCTGCGAGAGGGATCCTGGCGGGATGCCGACCGAAGCAGCGTTGTTGCGACTCTTGGAGCTGGCCATCACCTCGGCGTCCTCGGGGGCGTTCATGTCGCTCACGTTGGCGACGATAAATTGAAATATATCGCTGACCTGCGGGGTGGAAAATGGAGGGGGTGGACAAAGGTTGAGTACAGAAGAGTGGCACAAAATCAAGATTAAGTAGCCGCCCTGTCTAGATAGATTTATGTCGGCCCTTTTTCGGCGGCGAACTCACCTCATTCCAGCCGTAGCGATTCTTGGCCTGAACTATTGCTTCGTAGTAAGCGCCCGGATGCAGATTCTTGATGGTGTAGGACATGATGTGTGTCAGGGGCTCCGAGGCCGGTCGATGCTCCGGTGTGAGGATGAAGTCGTGCCACCTGCCCGGCTGCTGGTACGATTCATTCATCTATTGGCAGCAAGGCGGGCGATGAATCAGGGTGGGGGAAAACAGAAAAGAGAAGACAGAGAAGAGCCAAATTAAGTGCCGGCTTTCGCCATTGACAGTTTTCCTTTGATTCCTTAATTAATTTCATGTCCTGCGCGAGGAAACCAAATGATTTCCGCTACGAGCACCCGATCAAGTTATGACAGCTATCACATCAATTAAGCCACCCCCAGCAACTCCTCCTCCTTCTACTCCTGCTCCCCGAGCTGCCACTTGATATGCCGCGGAAAGTCCTCCAATAATTGCACTTCAATGGCGCATGAATGCAGAGAAAAATTATCTCCGCCCAATCAACGAAGCGTGGCAGGCCACTGCAGTTTGACATTCATCGCCAAGAGTGCGTGAGTTGAAATCTCATTAAATTTCGCGAGCCACCTCACCCGATTTGCCCGTGGATAATGTGTATATAGCCCAGAGTCGCAATTAAGCGACATTTTCGTGTGTCTACGCTGGTACTCGTATTAAAAATCACTTTGGTCTGTCTGCGTGGGAAATTGCTTTTACATTTAAAAAAAACTTTAAACCCTTTTTAATGTATGTTATGAATCCTAAAAAAATTGAGTCAGAGGAAATATTAAATATTGAAAAATATATTCCTCTTTGTATTACTGAAATTTGGTTACCTAAAGGTCTTTATTTCTCTCAGTAATTTTTTCCACCCACTCATCTTTCGCCATTTTCCACATAATGGCTTCGCTTCAGCTTTTTTCTTTTGTCGGCATTTTGATGCTCGATTTTTTAGACATCTCGGTGAATGTAATTTTAATCACGTGCTTCATTAGTGAGCAGAGTCGCCTCCGAAGCCGAGACTTCAAGGTATCGGATTGCCTTCTACGGTATCCAGGCAGCTCCTCCCAGGCCCATTGTCTAGATGTCAGTCTGGCGGGATCGGTCTTTGTGCATATTTCACAATTAATTAATTGAATGTACTCCTTTTATATCGTATTGCCAGTGTCTTCTACCCCTCCCCCAAACTCCCTTTTGGGTTGTGGATTCAACTCACCAGCACTCGACGGTAGAGCAGACGCACCTCCTCCAGCGGCGGGTAGCTATCGATTTTCCATGTCAGATTGTAACTGTCCGTGGAACGACCCCACTTAGGTGAGTAGAACTCGGCGGGTCCGGGTCTTCCCGAGAGTTCCATGTACTTGCGGGACCTTCCCAACGAGTTGTCCGCCACGCAGCTAAAAAAAAAAACAAAGAAAAGGGATTTCTCATTAGCATATGGCTTAAACGATTAATTGACTTAATTGGCTTTTTCTATGTTCCCGGGATTGTTAATTTCTGTTTGCGTCATGTCTTGCCAAAAACGTAATTTCCTTTTAATTTTGCATTACCCTCCGTCAGCATTACTCATACGCCGTGTTGTTCCACCCACATCGATGTTTCTGTTGGCAAGTGGCTGGCAAGCAAGCGACTGGTAACTCGACTCAACTAATCCAAACACGTCGACACGTCGTGTGCACAAAAGCCACTCACTGTGGGTGGTCACCAGGTGGTGGTTCGGTGGTTCCTAGTTCGTTGGTAGCACCACCAACTCCACCGCCATTGGAAGATGGCTAAAACTTTGTGCATGAAATGTTGTGTCAACATGGCGAAACTTCCGCTTCTTTAATATGTTTCAGACAGATTGACATTGATGTGGAAAACTTGTTTGTCCGCAAAATGTTGTTGGATGAGGAGTAGGCACACCCACACATAGACAATTCCCCAAAGCCGGACGTGGGTACCATGTACTATGTGGCAAATATAGCAGAGGACTAAGCCTCCTTCCGTTTTCGCCCCCAGACAAGTGGCAACTTCGAACTGCTAACTGGCTGGCAAAAAGTGGAATAAGTTGTAGCCAAAGTTGCCAAATTGACTAAATCAACGCTGGCCGGCAAAGTTCATTGTAAGCCACAAGTTGTCCTGTCGATCGTAGACCGATTCCCAATTCCCGATTCCCGATTCGACATCCTCCAGCAGAACTCACCTGTAGTTGCCAAAGTCCTCCTGCTGGATGTGCTTGATGGCCAGTGTGTGCCGGTTGGCCCTGGTGTTCATGGTGCGCCGGTCGGTCGATTGGATCGGAAATGAGTTCTGGTACCAGGACACCTGCAGCGCGAAAAGAGTGATTCGGGATTAGCTCAGTGGTCAGTGGTGGATGGTGGATGGTGATAGAGATGGAGCACATGTCAATCGGGTGGGGCAACAACTAATAAATTCAACTCAAAATTTGACCCACTTGCAGTTACTTCTTTGCAATGAAAAACGAATGGAAACGAAAGTTGGGCAAATAAAAATGGCATTAATTTGCCACAAGCAAGAAATCGGAAAAAGAAATTGCAAGCCGGCCTGGCACAAAGCTCGGGCCAACAAGGCAGGACACAATACACCAGGACCTGGCAGAAAACGAAAAGCTGAATAACTGAAAAACAGGAAAAACAGGAAAAAAAGTGACCTGAAAACAAAGTTCTTGCATAAAAAGGGGGAGAATCAACGACGAGGAAGAGGAGGAGGAGAAGGCAGGATGATTCGCTCACTGGGAGCTGACTGCCTGCTCCTGCCTGGCTTCTCCTGCCTGCCTTCCCCGTAATCGTAATAATCTAAAAATCCACGAAAAATAACAAAAACTATCTGGGCACAATGGAACGAATGGAACGGGGCATTCAAAGAGCCAACAAACCGTTGCGACTGGATCAGCGTAAACAATGCAAACGAGCTTCGCCTCGAATCCTTCGCCCGAGTGTATCCAGGACTTCTCCACTTGTATATCCGGGGGATCTGCACCCAGATACCCAGATACCCAGGCATCCGTCAGGTTGCAGCATGGCAGGATGGCAGCGTGGCAGGATTACAGTGGCAGGACACACACAGAAAGAAACAGCAACAGAAACAGAAACAGAAACAAAGAGAGAGAGAAAGAGATGGTGGAGGAATTTAGCACACGAAGACAGCAATCTGATTACAGTCAAAAATCAATTTATATACAGTTGCTAAGACTCCGTTTGGTCTCGGCTTTCACTTCACGTTCAAATTGTTTTCTGCCCCGGCATTTGTCTATATCGAATGCCGCATTGTTGCATGCATCCAGTATCTGGAGTCTAGTATCTGCACAGCGGTTTCTGCACTCAGCACTCTGATTTCCCGCTGCAGTCAGCAGCTTTAAGGCACTGATTTACGAGCCCGGCGAGGCTCTTTTGCCCCAAAACACTTTTCTTCGACTTTGGCTTTTAGTTTTTTTAGTTGAGTTATCCCCCAAATAGATTTCAAGTTGCTGCTTTATTCACGCAGTGATAAATGACAGAATCCGCAGCGCAGATACTCGGCATTACACTTACGAAAAGTATACAATAGATTCTTTAAAATGTACCACACTTATAAATTAAATAAAAATGTTTTTTTTTAATAAATTAATTTATATCGTTTTTTAAATGGTAATATTTTAAAAGACTAAAGCTTAGACTTCTTTCGATTCCTACACAGAAAACCTTCTTTATAAAACACTCTTTTTAATAAGCTTCTTAACCAAATTGGAGTCTGTAAAGTTCTTTAAATGACTATAACCATAATTTATATCGTACTTATTGATAATGAAGATTTTTTAAATATTTAAAAATTTTGTTTGTAGTGTACTTACATAGAACATCCAACCGCATGTCGACTGTGACCGGGTCGCCCACTCCGTTGTCGGCGGTACATTGGTAGACGCCCGCCTGCTGGCGCTCCAGCTTCTCCAGGGTCAAAATGGGTCCGTCGCCAATCCTGGCAGAGGACTTGTTTGCGCCGCTCTGCAAGAAAAAGAGGAGCAAAAACAAAGGGGTGGAATATTCTGTAACGCTTTGTAAACAGAGTGGCAACAAATTGAATCAATCGCAGACATTTTTTGGCCCCGGAAAAGATGAAGTCGGCGAGAGTGCAAGTAGCAAATGTCAAAAGACAAATGCTGTTGGCAAGCGAAAAAGTACGGAAGCGAAATGAAACGAAACGAAACAAAACTGAACCCAAATGAAGACATCTATGTTGTCCCCACGAAAAACTTGCTCTGACTGCACAGACACATACACACACACATTCAGGGAGCAAGGGGCAAAAGGGGGCAAAGAGGCAAGTTGCACAAATATTGGATGTGGAGCATGCAAAACTGGATGTAAACACAGACATCGAAGCGGGTCTCAAAGGGCCAAAAAGGGCGTTGTAGCAAGTCAGCTTTTTGGCTTTCTGGCTGCGAGCGTCTTTTCTTTGCCAACCGGCTTTTGGCCCGACTTGGCCCGGCTCGATTTGGTTCGGTTTGGCCCCGCAATGGTTGGGGCCAAGTGGGAACCCGAGGGGAACACGTGTCAACGTGTGCTCCTGCTCCAAAGTCAGTCCAGAACACGACGGAAATGCTGGGGCAGATTGAAATGGAACGCAGCGCCCTGGCGGAGTGACACCCGACTTGGCAGAGTCTCCAGAGGAGCGGGTGGATCAGCAGGAGCAGGAGCAGGACCAAAAGGACGACTCCGCTCGCTCTCTCTTTACAAGAAGGTGGAGCCCGTGCAACTCATCGTACCTGTCTGGAGGCAAACAAATCGAACGGAAATGTCAAATGCGCCAAAGTGCAGTAATGCAAACGAGACTTTTGCCCAAATGTGCGAATCCTGACAACGACGTAGATGGCACACACACATTCGTGGAGCGCTTCCTCCGACACTTGCTTTATTGAAAGTTTGTGTGCGAAGTGAAGTAGTTGCACTTAAAAGAAAGTTTTCTATACAGATGGTAAAAAAATAAGAAAGAAAGGTGTCATAAACTTTATTCAAAAAGCGAACAATCTTTATATTTTCCAATGAATTGTTATCTAATAGAATTAAATTCTTGCTATTATTGTTATAACTTTATATACAAAGGAACCTATTTAATTCAAGTGTACCTCACTCTATAAGTGCTAACTGTTTGAATGACACTGACAGCGACTGGGTCACTAGCCGTTTGCCAGTTTGGCAATATCTTGGCTCCCATGTGCGAGTATAGTACATCCTGCTCATCCTGGGTGGCACACTTTTGTGGCTCTATGAATCGCATTAATTACGCCTTGACTACCGGCGAGGTAACTCGTCCTGGCAACCTGCAATCCCAGCTCACCTTCTCCGCATTTGCAAGTTGCTGTCGCCGACAGTGATTTAGTGCAAATTCCCTGGCATCGAATCAATGCCAGATTCGGATTCCGAATATATAGCTCTGTGCTGTACAATAGTTAATGGGATGCTTCCCTGAGAGTCGCTCTGCTCCAGTTGGCAAGTTGATAAACTTCTCGAAATTAGCAGCGAAAACTAATTGCCAACTCGCATCCGCATTTGCAAGTCATATAAGTCGGCATAAATTCATTTGTCCCGCTCCCGGTTTTGGCCCACTCTGAATGGGCTGGCAAATATGTTATCCCTTTGTTGGCTCATGCGTAAAATTATGTGTTTGTTGAATTCATAATTGCCCCCCATTACAGCCACATGCCGCAATCGTAGATTGTTGGGGCGGCGGCGGCGCCTTGCGATTTATCATCTAGCTTTTTGTTTGCTCCTCCTGCCGAGCGGAGATTTCGACGGCAATCTGGATGTGTTGAAAACTGTGAGTGATGAGTTATGTTGTTGATTTATAATGCAAACACACATTCCTATCTAGACCTGAGTTATACGTGTCTGTATGTGCGTTTGTGCTCGTGTGACTTTAATGTAGGCGAAATCATTTTTAATTAATAACGAACTTTTGGCCATCCAAAATGGCTGAAAAACTTTTATGCCCCCGCCCGGATCCCCCGGAAAAGTTTGGCGGCAGCTCTTCGGCTCTCGAGAGCTTAAAAGCGACCGAGAGTGAAAGTGGAAGTGAAATTTGAAAGGGAAAGTGCTTAACAACTGACCCCACGCAGCTTACCAGCGCCACCCGTCGGGAGCGGGACGACGCAATTTAAACAGTTGCGAGAATTAAATTCAATTAAACTAAATGAAATTCACTTAAACAAGCATCGGAATCTGCCCGGCTAAATGGGTATAAAGCGCACAAAGCGATGGGTAACGAACCTTCTTGGTCCAGTAAATGGATGGCACCGGATTACCGGATCCCTTGCACTCCAGCGTAATGGGTCCTCCTTTGCGGGCCTGCAGTTGTCCAGACGTCGGGATGGCCCGTACACTGGGCGGAACTGGGGGGTAGAAAGGGGCAGATTGAATAGAGATTGAAAGGGGTGGCGAGGCGGTGGAAATCAGTGGCTAATTGATGTGAGGCTCTCGAGAAGCACTTGTCAAATGTAAATCTGTTCTCTAATGCTGTGCAAACATGTCGACGTGTACTCACCCAATATCTCAACTGTGTGCACTTGATCACGATTTATTTTGTCACTGATTTGACAAACATAATCCCCGGCGTCTTGGGGCTCCAAATCGGATATCTCCAAATTATAACCATCTATCAGTCTTACGCGCTCATCCCTTGTAACCATAATGTTGGAGGCGGTGAGCACATTTGTTCCCCGTCGCCACAGAAGAACGAAATTGCCTGAAAGATAGAGATATACGAAGAATGTAAGAGGAGAGTGTGGCATTAAGTGGGGGGTGGTAGGTGGGTCGGTCTTATAAGCAGATGAAAAATATAGAGCAAAATGTGTCTTCTCGTTGCCTGCGAAATTTATTGTAAAACGCCGCAATATAAACATGAAGCATTTTGCTGCCAGCGCAGACATATACTTTCAGCTGTCACTGTGGCTGAGCAACTTGGGCAGGCGAGCGAAAATAGTTTTCGTCCCCTCAGATACATATCTGTCTTTCCATCTTTCTATCTTTCTATCTTCCCTCCGCCGAGCTGTGAACATTCAGCAGATTCTGCCCGGCTCTGTTTGTCTATCCCGAAGTCCTGGCAAAAGCAGCAGGAGAAGCAGGATATGTGTGGGTTTCTGGTTTCATCTATTTTTTAGTATGTTTGCTCATATAAATGACATAATTTTGCAGATGTTGTTGGCATAATTCTTTGCTTTTTTATTCTTTGCATATTTTATGCCACTTGGATCGCTGCTGCCGTGCCCGCCTTTATTGTTGTCGTCGCCACAAAAAGGCAAACGAGAATTTGTTAAATGAGATTAAGTGGCGTATAATATGTTTATTTATTTTGTGTACTTAAGTCCTGAATGAGAGACCCATAACCCTGCGCTCCGTTCCGCTCCGCATCGGCGACCCCGAACAATTTATGAACTTGTATTTATTATGGAAATATTAAAAAAACAAACGTGGAAAAGCGCCGCACGGCCGTATTACGTATACGTGCTGTAAAACCGAAATCAGAGTTGTGTAAATACGCCGTCGCCGTTTTCAAAGTTTTCCCAATGTAAAAGTGGGCGGGACCGGCCTTCGTCCTTCGTCCTTCGGTTGAACGGTCAACCGTTTGCTGGAATATGATTTTCAGCATTCGAAATATGAAATTTTAATGAAATGTTTTTATTTTCCCCGACCTCCGCCGCCCTTTTATGTTTGTGTGTGCGTGGGCCCACTGGCAGCTGACATTTTGCTGACCTTAAGCTGCCATTAAATAATCACGGCTTAAAGTAATGCATTATTGATGCCGCTTTTAAAATGCATTCGCGTCCATAATGAGTTCGCTCAGCTTTATATTTGCCTTACTTCCGGTTATTAACAGAAGTCGAAAGCGAAGAGAGCGCAACCCACAACCCACTTCAATGCAAATAAAATATTCGTTTAAGCTGTACAGCAAAAAAAAAACCCCTGAACCCCCATAAACCCTCCCCGATTCCTGCGGCTTAAACTGGAGCAATCATCATTTTATTGGGGCCCGATTATTATTGAATCGACTCAAGACTTTCAGAGCAATTGGCCGGCATTTTGTGGGCGAGCAGGTGGTGGTGGTGGGTTTTATTTTGATTTTATATTAGTCCTCACGTCGGTTTCCGGTCCTGCATTTTATTAGAGTCTAATGGCTGTATATTGATATTATTGGAGTGGAAAGGGAGTACCATAAAAGTTTCATTTTATAGCCCGTCAATATCGACATATGAATTTGCAGGCTGCTTTAAGGCCGCCCTCTCAACCCGCAAAGTACTCATAATTTTTGGGTGGCCCACAAAAGCCTGTGGGCAATTTTTAGCAGATGGGTTCGAATTTCTAAATGAGTTACTCACCAGGCACCCACCTCGCCTCGATACATTTTAGGTGAAAGCAATTTAGTAAGTCAATACGTTCGGAGCAATGAAAATCCAATTTATAACCGCGTTCTCAATGTATTGACGAGCGTTTCTGTCTGCCATTCACCGGGTGACAACATGACGTATACGTATTTGATTCGCACACATGTGACGAGTGTGGTAGGTACACAGCGACACAGGCAGCTACAGCTACAGCGAACGGCAATCAATGAACGGCTTCATAGACCATTTGATACTTAATTTCTTTTATTGGATTAAAGGCTTGCCCCCCGCCGTCCCCCTTTTTCAGCTTGACCTCGCCGCCGGTCCGTGGTGCATAAAAGCTGCAATCAAACCCACGCCATGTCACGCCGTCGTTAAAAGCTGAAGCGGATTGATGACAGTGCAATGCAGAAGTACACACCAGCACCCACACCCCCACCCATACCCACATAGCCAAACGGGAGCAGAGACTATTGGAAACAGCCAGAAACATTGGGAATGACAGGGCCAGAACCGCAGCAAGAGCAAAGTGCATCGGGGAGATTTCCGGCAACAAATGGTGGTAGCGAGAGCAGTGTCCGCATATCAAATGACTCCCCAAAGCTCCTGTTTTTGCAATTATCTTGATTATTGAGCAAGAAACTTTAGGAGATGCTCGGATTTAATTACCGGCTGGATGCATCTGATGCATAGTGCATGATATCTGAATCTGCCATCAAAATCACAGTCCTGCGAACAGACAGTTGTTGACATCACCTGGCATTTGATGCATACAGAGAATTATAAATCCGAACTCTGCTCGGATGACAGCTTAAGGCGCAGATTGCAAATGTGTGCTGCACAAATGAAACAGCTGAAACAGCAGAAACAGCCTCACAAAAAGTCGAAACATCAGGCGTTAATGGGAAATCATTGCTCTTTAATGCCTCGGCAAGAGAATCGAATTAAATGAAAATATTTTTGAACAAAAAAAAAAAAAAAACGTGCAAACAAGCTGACACAAACGGAAATACACACGGCATTTGTTGGATGCACACTAAGAGAAAATATGAGTGATTACAATCACTTTGTATTTGAGCAGATAGAACTTCATTACCAAAATATGATTTTAATCAGTAAGCTAACAGATTCTCCTTGAAACAAGTGCCTTTGCTCTTAGTTATAATGCTGATATATGATTTTTTTTACAGTGTACAGTTTGATGTGTACTGGCTTTCAACAATCGCGGAGTGGGCAACTTTGACTGATGTCAATCTGGGCGCTGGAGTGCATGCTGAGTGGATTGTCGTCGCTGGCATCAATGTGCAATTTATTTTCATTTGCTGCGAACGGTTAATTGCATTTTATTTATTGGCGTGTCAACAGCAGTCGCAATTTAAACTTTCCCCCCTTGTTTTTCGCTTAACTGGGTCAAAATTAAAGCGGTGCCAGCGATAATGACCAGCGAGAAGGAAAGCCATCAGCTGGATCAATATTAGTTGAAATTGTTTAGTCGGGGCAAATATTCCGCTCGCCTTTAATTGATTAAAATTCGATTTTCATTGGCTCCCGCCGGGACTGGACTGGCATTATCACCAGAGTAGCTTCCTGGCACAGGACACGTCGGAAAAGTCGGTTGTTTGCCAACAACGCCCAGCATATTGACCGCATTTAAGACGGGGCTGGCTAAAAGTTTTTTGCGGCACTTAGCGAAATAATAAACTTAGCCTGGCAGCAAACACAATTTGGCCCGAATAGAGCAGCTTTTGTGTTGGCCAAGAAGGCTGGACTTTGATCTCGAACAGAGATATCTTTTCGATACACTTGAGTGAGCTTCGGAATTTGATTAATTACGATATTCACATGCGACATGCTGGCAATCAAAGCGAATAAATTGCAATCCGTTTTAGAAATTTTTGCATTAGCCGATGCTAATTGAAGTCGAGCAAGACATTTTGGCATTGCTGCATATTTTAATATGCCACTGCCACTGAAACTGTGGCACAGTTAGCAAACGGCAGCCATTCATGCATCCATGGGCAATCAAATGTCATTTTATTTGCTGCCCGGCTGCATTCACGCTTCGATTGCATTTCGTTTGCCATTTGATTGCCTACAGTTAGGCCGGATCCAGAGTGGAAATCTATCAACTGGCGAATCGAGGCTAAACTAAACTCCGTTTGGCCATGACAAACGGTTTCTCCCCTCCCCCCCACTTTCCTTTTGCGGCGGCCAACGTTAATCAGCCAAATTTATTTGCTGCCAATATGTGTGAGGTTGCATATTTTGCCAGCCGATTTATAAATGCGAAGGGAAAAATGTGTCGATGCGTATGGCCAAAACCGAACGACAGGCTGTTGACAGCTGTTGGTTGGCCAAATGCTGTTGTTGTTGTCCTTGTTGCCGCACTCGAATATTAAATTTATGTGAAGTGACATTTTGCCTAAACATATTTGCATATATTTTGCATAATTCTCACCGCCCGTTGGAAATATTATTATTATAATAGCAGCATGCCCACGCGGCAACATTTTATTTTTATGATCGCATTTTCACATCGCAATACTAATAACGTAGGATTAATTATACCGGGACAAGGACCAGTTTTTGGTGGGGGATGGGGGGTAAACTCACCCAGATTGTCCACCTGGCAGGGCAGGACGAGCGTGTCCCCGACGACGGCGCGGTAGGTGTGTCCGCGGGACATGAAGCGCGGCATGGTGGCGGTCAGCGTGGAGGCTCCCACCGCCGACTGCTGAACGTTGCTCATCGAGCGGCTGTTGCTGCCTAGAAAGAGATAGAAAGAGAGAGAGAGGGAGAAAGAGATGGGTTAGTTTGCGGTGGTACACGGGAAACAAACATAACGATATCGGGCTTGCGGCCATCCACCTTGCAAATCCAACTAAGCCCAGTTTACGGCCGCCAATTAGAGTCGAAACCATATCCGTACCACCATGACACATGCTTTCATCAAAAACAAAATCACAATAATGCAAACCCAATATTAAATTACAATTAGTTCTCATCCAAAGCAGCAGAAAGTTTTTGTTTAAACAATGGCATTGCCCAAATAATTTTAGCTATTTAATTGGCTCTTGTTTAGCGGTTGATTTCGCTAATTAGAAAATTAACTAGCGTTACCATGATACACACAATACGAATGAAATATAATATACCATAATTAGCGATTGGCCAAATATCTGGCACTTAATTGTCTTATAAATCAAAGCTGTTATTTGTTTTTTTTTTTTTTTTTGGTAAATATGTTTCAATGCAAATTGTGATTTATAACCGAAACAAATGTGACAAGCCACAGAGACTGATTTATAATTGGCGTGAATGAATGACAATTTTAAAAATAAAATAAAAAAGTGTTGAGCTAGGTTTTCTATTGAAAAAGTTTTAAACATTGGTTAGTTTAATCAGAAGTTTCACACTTTTGTTAGCTAATATTTTGCCGTGTACACTCACACTCCTGCTTAGAGGGGCCATCGTCTATCGATGGCAATTTGTTTCCATCCGAATGGGTTTCAATTAGCATAAAAATGTAGCTGCGAGTCGTTCGCGTTTACGCCAAGACCCCAGGACTCCCAGGATGGCAATAAACGCGTACTACGCACACACCGGAACCTCGAGGAGTGTGGGGAGGTGGCAGAAGAGGGGGAGACGGAGCGGGTGGCAGGGGGTGGCGTAGAGGAAGCCACTTGTCCTGGTGCGTGTGACCCGTCAGAGTGTGTTAACGCACTCGCTCCGCGTCCTCGGGGGCATCGTTGCTGTCCTGTCCGTGGCAACATGGCCAACGTGAAAATTGCTGTCGCCCAGCAGCACGGCTTAAAGCCACTTTCGTTGGCGGCAAGGAAAACAGTCTGACCCTGCCACGCAGTTTTGCCGGCTTTCAGCTTGCAGCTGGCAGCTGGCAGCTCTCCGCTCTCCGCTTTCGGCTTTCGGCGACAAATGAGCGCAGCGGAGCGTAACAAATGTTTAGCCCGGCTAAATGCAGTTCAAGTGCAAGTCCTGCGCGACGGCAACAGGACACCAAACGCAGCGTAACAAATTTGATTACAGGAACTGCGAGGGACGGAGGCGAGACTCCTTGCACCCAAAAGACGCCCCAAGGAGTCGCCAGAGGCGAGCAGAAAACGGCAACATCAGCAAACAGGCCAAAAGTCCTTATATTTGTCCCAGAAACTCCTACTTCCCCGCCCACGCTCCTTTTGCCTGCTGCACTTTTTCGTTTTGTGTGCCTGTGCGCACTCGCTTTATCTTTTACGATACCCGTGGACACGACTTTGGCCATCGCCCGCCCCCTTTTGACCAACCTGTCTTTGCTTTTAGCCGCCCCCTTCTTAAGAAACACTTTTACAGGTCCTTAGCGACCGGCGGACATAAAAGGACATTTTCGCAGATCATCATTTTATGGGAGGAGAGCGAAGTCGAAAGCGACAGGGGAAGCGAAAATTGGTCAGGCTTTAATGCTGGACTCGGACATCTTGGCCCGTGCGAATTTGTCGACCCTCAGATTTTATACTGTCCCGGGACAAAAGCGCACGCTTGTGTGAAATTGCACAAATTTTGCAGTCAAATGAACTTTAAGACTCAGCCAGAGCACAGACTCCAGACTGAGTAATAAAATGGGGGAGTCACATAACCGAATAAAAGACACTCAATAAAGCGGGGTTTAAACCAAACAAAACTTAAGGCTTTAAACAAATAAAGAACTAAAGCTTTAAATAAATATGTTTATAAATATATTTATGAGCTCCTCTTCTCTACATATAATAAAACTTCTTAAGAGAAGTAGGTCAAAAAATGTGAACCCAAATACTATAAAGATAAAGCTACTTATACTGTTTGCTACATAAATCTCCAGAAACGCACTATATACTCGAAGCCTCGCCTATAAAAACGTGTCGGAGGAGCACTTTAAATCTCTTTTATGCCCGGGACACTTTCGACTTCCTCGACTGCCTGTCGAAATACGAGCCGAGTCCTGCGTTAATATCTGGGCATGCATAAACATGTCTGGTCCTCGCAGGCGACGCGACGTGTACTTCTCGGCCCCTTTTTGAGGCGCCTGCCGAAATTAGAGTTTTGCATATGAATTTCGGGGCAACGCAGTCGGTCTGAAGTCTGTAGTCACCAGTCAGCTCCCTTTGCGGCCGGTCATTCGGGCCAAAACCAAAAGCGACCCAAGTGGCACATGTCGAGGCACCAGCACACATATTTTTCAAATGACCAAAAATGCAGTTGGCCTTAAATTGCATGCATGAAATGCATTAAACATGCAAAACCACTTCGCACCGAGAAAGCCGAATGCTCGGAAGGTGATTTGTGTTGGTTTTGGTGTGCGTAAGCCTTTTTCGTTGCCGGCAGAAGGGTCAAAATGTGTGGGCGTGGCGTGGGCGCATTAAACAATTTTAAAGTGGTTTCCAACTATGCACAAAATTTCATTAAAACTGGGCAAAGCCGAGAGGGGCAAAGCGTTTCGATGGAACGGCAAACTTTATTGCTGTCTCTCGACCAGAAAACCAGTAATTTTGCACTGCAGAAAACTTATCAAGAAATTTGATTTTGGTTCTAAAAATAAGTGATAACCTATTATGAGTTGTTAAATATTAATTACTGTCTTTTATCTCCAGATTGTGTCAAAGAAAATTGTTAAACAACACTTCAATGGAAGATTATGATTTAATTGAAAAGTTTTTTCTATCGTACAAAGTTTTGTCAGATATTAAAATTTCATATTTTTAATTTAGCTATTTGCCAGGATTAAAATTCTATTCCCTGTTGAATCTTTGGGGAAAGATGAGCTATTTTATTTAATAAGCTTTTAATCCTTTCAAATAATGGCTAGAGTTGAGAGTTTATGAAGCCAAGAGCTCCGTTTCTCCCTGTGTGCTACTTAAATTCGAGCTCACATTTAAGAAGAGTTCTTAAATTTATGCGGCTCAGTCGCTCACGTAGCAAGTCGCGTGCGTTGCACAAAACGCAAAAACTTTCGCCACTTCCGCGCCGAGCACTTTCTCTCTGTCCGTGCTGAAAAATGAGCGCGAATGGGTTTTGTCCTCGCTGTCGCGAAAACTGTGTCACATACGTCCACCGTACAGTGCGCACTCGCACTGACGCACACACCCTCTCCCCGGAAAATTCACTCGACGGCACTTACATCAAAAATGCAAACTTCAATGCAGCTGCACCGCACAATAAACTCGATTGCGAAACAGTCTTGCAGCTCGACAATGTGATACTCATTGTTTGGGGGAAATCCCCACAACAAGGGAAACGATACCGACGGCATCCCTTCTCTCGGTTTCCCCGCCGATTGATTTCCACCTGCCATAGAATAAGCGGTGATATGGCCAACGTTTTCCACGGCGAGTGGTGCGAAAAGCACAGTTTGTTGCTTAAATAATTTATCTCGTGCACAAACACACACTTTGCGTGGCGAGGGTTTTTAGCAGCTAACGACAAAGCGGTGGGGCGAAAAAGAGGGGATGCCAGTCAACATTGTTGCATAAATAGTGACGCAGTTTGCTGAGAAGTGCACTGGAAAAAAAATACATTACGATTATAATGATAATTGGTCATGGAAAATTAAGTTCTTTATAGTTTGTAAAGTACGTGTTTTGGAATTGTTTTCCAACTGATATTAAGAAAAGTTTTGTTTATGGAAACTGAATAGGAACATTTACAGAATATTTTTCTTTCTCTGTACTATATCTTCTGTTCTCAGGCTTTTCTGGCTACAGTTGCCCCCGTTATCAGGTAATGGCGGTTGAGCTCGCCGAGTGGCGGTTGTTGTGGCATTTGCGCCTGCTTTTGTAAGCGAGGAGCATTGGCATACTTGCAACAGAGGCCTCCGTTCCGTTTGAACCATTCGAATCCGTTGAGTTTGAGTTTTAGGTTCAGGTTCAGTTTCAGTTGCAGTTTCAGTTTTTGTGGCCTCGACCAAAGAGCAAATGGAAGAGCCTGCCACACGGTTGCATCAATTCGATGCGGGGGCATTTGAAATTGTTTTCGCCGAAATCTCGAGTTGCATCGCCTCGCTTTTTGCGGCTGCTACAATACTTTCAGTTTGAGCTGCACTCTCATGCGATTCAAATTGCGATTGTTTTGCGCCAGCGACATTGCGGTTGACAATGAGGAGCAGCTGGAAACGCTGTCACCGGCGACTGATATATGTATGCACTCCATTTCCCATTTCCCATTACCCATATACCAGATACCATATACCAGTTACCAGTCAGCGCACTAAATTTGTTGCATTATTTTCGGCGGACACGGAGCCCGCACATGCAGCGTTTTCTCATTTCCGTTGCGTGGTTGCAGCTTCTGCGGCAACTTGGCTCTGCTTTCGCTCCTGCGGTTCAGTTACACGCCAGAGCATTTTTCCAGCAGAGCTTCTCGGGTGGAGGAACCAGAGGCGGTTTTAAAAGTTCTCTAGAGCTGAAAACGTTTCTAAACTATTTGCAAAAATAAAATACTCTTGTAAATGGTGGGAATAAATAATAAAAGAGAATGTGTTGATGAAATGGTGGCACACAAATAAATTTGCTGCATTTCCAAAAAGCATTCCTTCAGCAACAGCTCTAGTTCGCAAGCAAATTGATAAGAAATCAAGTTCACTTAAACTTTTAAATTGTTTATTATTGTGTAGCTTTTCCCAAAGTAAAAAAGTCTGGTGCCGTCCCTGGGAAACAGCAATAGTTGCAGCAGCAACACCGGCAACATCAGCAATACATGCAACAGCAGCCACACTTTGTTTCATTAAAACTTTTGCCACGTGT